GGCTGAGGTGATTACAGCTGAGGTGTTGAGACTTTTTAAGGTACAGGGGTGTGGTGAAGGTTAATCTAAAGGTCAAGGAATTACCATTATACTGACCTTGGAATGGTACAAGAGAAGAATGGGTATGGATGATCCTTTCTTAAAAAAAAAAAAAGGCTTTTCTAATGGTTTCTGGGCAAGAGTGGCCCACTCAGGTGTTTTCAATGGGTAAACACAACTAGCATAAAAAAAAAGCTTCGATGTGAATGAGGTTTTGCTCTTCAATGACGGGAGTTGAAGAACTAAATTCTGCGTCATGATGCTGACTTGGCTAATTTATTTTGCATCCCATATCATTCTTATGAACGGTAGTGACAAGATTATTATTATTTTTTTATTAAAACATCGGCCTTCTCCCACCAAGGTAGGGTGGCCCGAGAAAGAACTTTCACCATCTTTCACTCCATCACTGTCGTACCAGAGGCGTACTTACAGAGTGCAGACACTGTACTTCCCATCTCCAGGACTCAAGTCCGGCTTGACGGTTTCCCTGAATCTTTTCATAAATGTTACTTTGCTCACACTCCAACAGCACGTCAAGTTCTAAAAACCATTTATCTCCATTCGCTCCTATCTAACACGCTCACGTATGCTTGCTGGAAGTCCAAGCTCCTCGCACACAAAACCTCCTTTATCCCCTCTCTCCAACCTTTCCTAGACGACCCCTACCTTGCCTTCCCTCCACTGCAAATTTATACACTCTCGAAGTCATTCTACTTTGTTCCACCCTCTCTACATGTCCAAACCACTTCAACAACCCCTCCTCATCCCTTTGGATAATAGTTTTGGTAATCCTGCACCTCCTCCTAATTTCCAAACTACGAATTCTCTGCATTATATTCACACTACACATTGCCCTCAGACATCTCCACTGCCTCCAGCCCTCTCCTTGTTGCAACATTCATCACCCAAGCTTCACACCCATATAAGAGCGTTGGCATAACTATACTCTCAAACGTTCCCCTCTTTGCTTCCACGGACAAAGTTCTTTGTTTCCACAGACTCCTAAGTACGCCACTCATCTTTTTCCCCTCATCAATTTTATGATTCACCTCATCCTTCATAGACCCATCCGCTGACACGTCCACTCCTAAATACCTGAATATATTCATCTCCTCCATACTCTTTCCCTCCAATCTGATATCCAGTCTTTCGTCACCTAATTTTTTTGTTATCCTCATGACCTTACTCTTTCCTATATTCACTTTTAATTTTCTTCTTTTACATACCCTACCAAACTCATCAACCAACATCTGCAACTTCTCTTCAGAATCTCCAAAAGCACAGTGTCATCAGCAAAGAGCAACTGTGACAACTCCCACTTTGTGTTAGATACATTATCTTTTAACCCCACACTTCTTGCGAACACCCGAGCATTTACTTCTCTTACAACCCCATCTATAAATATTAAGATTATTTACGCCTTATATCCATCATGTGAAAGGTAATGGCTAGTTTACTGTGCATCCTCTGTCCATCCTGTGCATTCTCTAGCCTTCATATGAAGGGTAGTAGCTAGCTTGCAGTGTATCCTCTATCAATCCTGTGCATCCTCTAACCATCACATGAACGGTATCCTCTATCCATCCTGTGTATCCTCTAGCCATCCTGTGCATCCTCTATCCATCCTGTGCATCCTCTAGCCATCACATGAACGGTTGAAGCTAGCTTGCTGTGCATCCTCCATCCATCCTGTGCATCATTTATCCATCCTGTGCATCATCTGTCCCTCCTGTGCATCATCTAGCCATCATATAAACGGTAGTGGCTAATTAACAGCACTCACATAGTCAATCTTGTCAATAAATCAACTCAGATTCGTTTATTCCGAATTTTCAAGACACTTTATCTCTCTCTCTCTCTCTCTCTCTCTCTCTCTCTCTCTCTCTCTCTCTCTCTCTCTCTCTCTCTCTCTCTCTCTCTCTCTCTCTCTCTCTCTCTCTCTCTCTCTCTTCTCTCTCTCTCTCTCTCTCTCTCTCTCTCTCTCTCTCTCTCTCTCTCTAAAACATACAAGACTGGTAGTTATTTTCAGCAAATTTTGTGTCGGCTTTCTAAACCATTGACATCACAGCAAATTTTATGTTGTGTGACATCATTATCTAATGTTCACGTGTAGGAGTCCTGTGTACACCTTATCCATCTGTGGAAAGGCAGAGAATTGCACAGACTGGACTTAGTGTCAAAGAGTTCCCTGTGATTCTGTTGTTCATCATGGAGTCCCTTTTTTTTATTCAGAACCTCATGCACTGTTTTCCTTTTTAAGCTGAAAAATTTGCCGATCCAAAATTCATAGAGCGAAGGAATGGAAAGTTTATCACACGAACGAAGATTTTTGATAAACGATATGGATCCGTAACATCTCACTGTATATCATTTAGTTTCAACTACTACTACTACTACTATTGCTGCTACTACTACTACTACTACTATTACTACTAATACTACTACTACTACTACTACTAATAATAATAATAATAATAATAATTATTATTAGTAGTAGTAGTAGTATTAGTATTAGTAGTATTATTATTAATATATAATTATGTTTAACAAAATAAATCTATGTATTGAGATTTATTAACTGCTAGACTACCTTGTTCCTTATTCTTATTAATTTATTTTCAACCTCGTTACTATATTCTTATGTTTAAACACAATAAACAAGTGTGGGGCAACCTGTGACATGCCTGCAACCGGTTTCAAGATTAATTTTTTACTCTCGCATCCCAGCCTAAGCCCGATGTTCCTTATTATTTGTTAGATCAGCTAGGTTGTTGCTGCTAGCGGCCCGCAGATTCCCATATCCGTCATAGACTGGTTAATTTAATAAAGGGACGAGTTAGTGATATCAAAGGATATTTACATATAAAGTCTTTAGTATATTTGAATATGGGTTTAAATGTGTATGAACAAATATATAAGTTAATCCTATTGCTAATCAATCTTACTTTTATAAGTTCTTGTCAAATAATGTGTGTAAATTTTGTTGGGGCAATATTTCTAGTAATAAGACACATGGACAACACTTGGGTATTTTAATTACCAACAATAGTGAAACCTTTGTATTGCACATGTGTCTCACTCGCGAACTTGTCAACATTGTATACCATTAACAATTCAGTGTTTCTGATATCTGTTGATAGCAGACTGCAGAGTCTCGGGGTACTGCTGATGCTGCAACACCAGAGAGATGAAAGACAATATAAAGTGTGTGACGAGGATAAACACACCAAATTTTAATGCAACACAGCTTAGGAATAGTTATGAACATTGTTGTGTTTCTAAGGTTCGTCAAATTTTACAGGTTAACATTGATGAGACGCTAGAATCGTTGGGGGTGAAAAGGAGTTTGAGGAATGACAGGTAGTCGGGTCTGATCCAAGGAATTGGAGGGTATCCCCATTTCAATGGATCAATATCCCTTTACCATCATCAAGGCACTGTAAAGGTTATGCTTTAACTGTACCTTGGAGCAGCCAAGGGCGGGGATGATATCAATAACAGTATAACAAACTCTTTGGGTTTATTTATACCGTCTTTGTGACGGTATATACACAATTTTGATTCAGCAAAATTGAAAATATCATCAATGAACCCTATTCAAAGTGATATTCCACTTTGGGAACAAAAGCAAGCTAGGTTCCCTATAATATTACATAACGCAGGATGAGGTTCATGATCAGTGTTGAAATGCTTCAGTCTGACCTGGGGGACCTCAGTAGGACAATGAGAATAGAATTCAGTATTCCATTAACGGATCACCAGCTACTGGAGCTTCAGAGGTCTTTTTCCAGCAAAGCTGAATTTGTTATCACTCGTGAATTACCATCTCTCATGATGGTCTATCCAACACACAAGAGAAATGGATTTTTTAGAGAGAGATGTCTATCATGGCGAAGTAGATTATGCTCACTCATAGGATGAGTGGTACTGCCCAGTACTGTCTTTGTGGTGGTACGTTCAATCATATGATGAGTGGTACTGCCCAGTACTGTCTTTGTGGTGGTACGTTCAATCATATGATGAGTGGTACTGCCCAGTACTGTCTTTGTGGTGGTACGTTCAATCATATGATGAGTGGTACTGCCCGGTACTGTCTTTGTGGTGGTACGTTTGCTCATATGATGAGTGGTACTACCTGGTACTGTCTTTATGGTGGTACGTTCACTCACAGGAAGAGTAGTACTGCCCAATACTGCATTTATGGAGGTACCGTTCACTCACAGGATGAGTGGCACGGCCGCCAATAAATCGCATCACGGGAGCACAATCTTACATCAAAAAATCTTGAGTATGCAGAAGCAAGAAATTTTGCATTTGTTGTCATTTAGCTAGAATTAACGTATAAAACTGATCTCAGGCATCCCATTAGACTACCTCAGTGTGCTATGCCGTAAACACCGTGTTCATTCATGCACTTTACGTTGCCTGTCGTTCGTTTGTTATTTCTACTTGGTTCCTTTGATGATGTGAGTTCAAACACACTAAAGCACTTGCAATTGTTTATTATTTTGTGTTAGTTACGAACGTATATATACTATATATATATATTATATATATATATATATATATATATATATATATATATATATATATATATATATATATATATATATATATATATATATATATATATATATGTATATATATATATATATATATATATATATATATACATATATATATATATATATATATATATATATATATATAATATAATATATATATATATATATATATATAATGGAAATCTTTAGCTCCGATTTACATCTCCATGTGGCTTGTTCAGACCAAATTTTAAAATGACACTATCAATGACTTTTTTTCTCTCCTGTTGCAGAGAGAGAGAGAGAGAGACAAACAGACAGACAGAGGGTTGCATTAACAACATAGTAAATGTGTGTAATTAAAATGAGCATAATAAAAATTTCTCAGTGTAAAAGTGTAAATTATTTACTCACCGCCATTGTCAGAATGAGAAGAATAAAAGTCTTCATCTTCTTCACTTGGGAAACATAAGCAAATCCAACCTTCTCTGTTTTTTGTCCAGAGTAAAAAAAAATTGTGATGTCCAGAGGGCAGCGAGAAGGATTACTTCATTATTTTGGTTTCCTCAGGGGATGTAATAACAAGTAATTCCAAAAAAGACCCATTTTGTCATAGTTCGAGTCTTATGATGCTCATTTTCACCTCAATATTCATTTTTTTTATCTTGTCTCTGTAAGTTCTTAACATATTGCAATAAAAAAAATCGTATATATATATATTTTATATATATATATATATATATATATATATATATATATATATATATATATATATATATATATATATATATATATATATATATATATAGTATATACATATATATATATATATATATATATATATATATATATATATATATATATATATATATATATATATATATATATATACATGTATATATATATATATATATATATATATATATATATATATATATATATATATATATATATATATATATATATATATATATATATGTATATATATATTTATTTGTTTATTTATTTATTTATACTTTTGCACGTGCGCGAACTGTGTCACACCGACTACTGGTAGTTTACAAAGGGGGTTTAAAACTGCTGGTGAGTGGTGGCACAAGCAACTGTTTGAGTGGTGCTCTGATGGCCATCACAGTCACCACCAGCAACTGGTCAGCTTGCACGTGTTGTATACACACAACATTCTTACCACACTTCCTTTACACTAATTCACATTTTTTCAAACCCCTTAACAGCTTTCAGAAAGGAAAAAATGAATGAATTTTATGTGTATATTATATATATATATATATATATATATATATATATATATATATATATATATATATATATATATATATATATATATATATACGGAGATGCATATTAATGACTCCTGGAGAGAGAATGCATATTGCAATATTGAAAATTTGCTTTAAGTTAGTTTGAGAGATACAAATAGTGAGAGAGGAAGGGAGAGAAAGAAAGACAGAAAGAGCGAGAGAGATTGTGTGTGTGTGTGAAAGAGAGAGAGAGAGAGAGAGAGAGAGAGAGAGAGAGAGAGCAAGCAGGAGCAGCTACCCAGGATACCAGCCTCACTCAGCCACAGTCACG